GCTTGATCAAGGTGTTGTTCGCCACCGAGACCTTTTCTATTGGCCTAAACATGCCTGCCAAGACGGTCGTCTTCACCTCGGTGCGCAAGTTTGACGGGACAGAAAATCGAAATTTGACTTCGGGCGAGTTTATCCAGGTGAGCGGGCGAAACTACGCGAGGCGAGATTGCGCGAAGACGAGCTTGGCAATTGACCCACCTGCCGCACTCTATTACCCTCCGGCAGATGAGCGGGCGAGCAGGTAGACGAGGGCTGGATGATCGAGGCATTGTGATTATGATGTTTGATGAAAAGCTCGAGCCAGCCGACGCCAAGACGATGGTCAAGGGGGAAGCCGACAGGCTGAATAGCGCCTTTCATCTCGGCTACAATATGATTCTGAACCTGATGCGCGTCGAGGGCATCTCACCCGAGTACATGCTCGAACGCTGCTTTTTTCAATTCCAAAGCGCTGCGTCCGTGCCCGAGCTGGAGGGCAAGCTGGCATCGCAGCGCAAGGAGCTCGAGCAAGCCGTGGTGCCGGACGAAGAGCAGACGGAGGAGTACTTTGCGCTGAAGCACCAACTCCAGGAGCTGCAGAGCGATGTCAGAGAAGTCGTAACTCATCCGACCTATGCCTTGCCATTCTTGCAGCCAGGTAGATTGGCGCACGTGCAGCACGAGGATCTCGACTTTGGATGGGGCATCGTCATTCGATATCAGAAGCGCATCACGCCGAGCAGGGGAGGCAAAGTGGATGCGAGCGCATCCGAGAGGCCACAGTCGCAGTGGATCGTCGATGTGCTGCTCGACTGCGAAGCAGGATCCACGGCGCCCACCATCAAGGATGTCGCGACGAGAGCTCAGAAGCAGGTAAAAGGTGCCGATACCGCACCCTTGGGTCTACGGCCTTGTCCGAGCGGCAAAAGAGGCGAGATGCTTGCCGTACCGGTGCTCCTCTCCACCATTTCGCGCATTTCAGGAGTGCGCTTAAAGATGTCGCCAGATTTGCGTTCGCGCGAAGCTAGAGATCAGGCTCGGACAAACTTGCTGGAAGTCAAAAGGCGCTTTGCTGGCTCCGACTCGAGAGGCAAAGGCGTCCCTGTCCTCGACCCGGTCAAGGACATGAAGATTGCAGATCAGTCGTTTGCCACGCTGTTGAGCAAGATTCGACTCGTAGAGTCTCGCCTGTCAGAGTCCAAGGTGGCAGCTTTGAGCGGAAAAGAAAGGGGGCAACTTCAAGAAGCGTACGAGCACAAGCAAGAGCTCGAGCGCGGGGTCAAGAGTTTGGAGCGCCAACTGAGCGATGCCCACAGCGTGCTGCAACTGGACGAGCTCAAGTGTCGCAAGCGGGTTCTGAGAAGGCTAGGCTTTACAACGGACGACGACGTCGTGCAGAAAAAGGGTCGAGTTGCGTGCGAGATTTCCACCGGCGATGAGCTTCTCTTGACCGAGATGATTTTCAACAATGTGTTCAACGACCTCGACCCGAATCAGTGCGCAGCGTTGCTATCTTGCTTTGTGTTCGACGAAAAGAGCGAGCAGCAAACTCGACTCAAGGAGGATCTCGCTGGACCTCTGCGAGTCATGCAAGAGACTGCGCGACGCATAGCCAAAGTGTCGATCGAGAGCAGACTGCAGGTCAATGAAGACGAGTACGTGGCTAGCTTTAAAGTCGAGCTCATGGAGGCTGTTCTACAGTGGTGCCGCGGAGCCAAATTTTCGGAAATCTGCAAGGTGCGTACGCGTGTCGTTGCAGTAGATGTTCTCGCTGCGGCTGATGCCGCCCAACGCCACCTTACAGATGACCGACGTCTTTGAGGGCAGCTTGATCCGCGTCTTTAGACGACTGCAGGAGCTTTTGCGACAAGTTGTCCAAGCGAGCAAGGCTATTGGGAATGTCGAGCTTCAGGAAAAGTTCGAGGCCAGCCAAAAAGCTTTGGAGCGCGAAAACTCGATCATTTTCAGCCCGTGAGTGTCGATGAGAACATACAGTGTCACTTTTGCGGCTGACGAATTGCGCGTTCCAAATTGCGTCGGCGCTTCCGAACTGTGACAGCTCCTTGTATCTGTAGACGAAGCAATTCATGCCGAGTGCGCGTGGGCACGCCCGCACGCACGCACGCACGCGCGAGACGAAGCGGCGCACAACTAGATCGTGTCGCTCGTTGCGTCACTGATTGAGCGTCTTGTCAGCATCCACGGGCTCTGTTGCCGCCTCGGCCGGCAGACGATACTGTTCGCGCAGAGAGAGATGCGCGACGCGTGAGCGGAGTGGGAAAGGAAGGGCATTCCCTAGCAGACTCACGAGCTGATGCTCCGCCATGTAGCTGACCACGGCCTGTGGCAGCAAGTACCTGATGCTCTTGCCTCGCCGAAGAAAGAGGCGAATCTTTGAGCTACTGACGTCGTCATAAATCACCTGCGTCACGACGTTCAAGTTTCGTCGGTACTTCCAAAGCAGATCGTGGGAGAGCAAAAATGTCCAAACGTCGGCTCCAGTGCGCTCGACGATCATGCATCCGTAGCGACCCAGAATGTGGTGCAGCTGCGCGCGGCGAGGCGAGGCGAGGCGTGAGCAGTCCGCGTGAGCGCAGTCAGAAAGGGGCGCGCCACGAACGTCGAGCGCTTGGAGCGTGCGAGGAACGTCGAGGCGCGCGCGCGCCACTTCAAGTGGTTAGAGCGCGCCACGTCGAGTATTTGAAGCGCGCCACGTTTTTGTAGCGCCACTCACATCTGGTTCTGCCCACACTCCAGGCTCTCCCATGCTCTGTATCAAGTCTCCGCCAGCCAACAGCATGATGCGAATCCGCCGTCTGGTGCCGTCTGCGAGCAACACCCCGCCATCCTGTCCGCCGTTGATTTCGTCGTCAAAGTGATCCAAGACGACTGCCGTGCGCTGATACTCGTCCTGCAGCGACTCCCATGCGTCGACCATCAACCAAGTCGATGTCCTCTCTACGGCCAGCTCGCACATGCGCACCCGGTGAGTAGCCTTGGCCAGCCCTTCTTTCTTGTAGTAATCCGAGACGGGGGAAAAGTATCCTCCCAGCAGCTCGTACTTGCCCTCTTCGATCACCTGGTCTTTGGCCATCTCAAAGATTCGCAGGTGGAGGTACGTGGGCGGCGAGAAGCTGCCGCAGGCTACAATGACCAGAGGCACCTTGCTGTCGTCGCGCATCCTGGTGGGTAGCCGATGACGCGGAAATGCGTAGTGTTCCTTGCCCTGCGCTTGTCGCGGAACGTGGCCCCGCAAACCAGCGCCTAGCTCGTGGCGGGCAGCGTCCAGCTCATCATACGCATCGGCAGGATGGCTCGAAGACTCTTCTCCGAAGCCATCCACATCCTCCGTCTGCGTGTACGCCGGTCTGCCCTGTCGCTCTTGATTGGAGAGCGTCACTGGCGCTGACATGACTTCTGCCAGACCTGCGCGCGTCAGGCTCTTGACCGACCCGATCGTCGTATCGGTAGAGTGTGGAGATTGTCTGCCCGCATTGCAAGCCGGAGCGGTGGTGCTCTTGGCGAAAGGGCCCCCTGCGTCGTGCCAATAGCTCTGGGCAAGCTCGGGACCAGGCGTGCGAGCATCGTCTTCGAGCTGCCACCCAGGCACGTCCTGGTTGACGCCCTTGAAGTGCGCATTGTGTGCAGTCTGTGGTGGACCAGCAGAGCCTACGGCAGTGTCTGTGCTTGCCTGCGCCTGCATCGACTGCCCGCCTCCGCCTCCTCCTCCGACGGCTGCTCCTGTAAAGGGGGGCGAGTCGAGGTGGTAGGACTCGATGGACAGGGCGGCGAGCTTGGCAGAGGCTGCCCCCGGACCGGGACCTGCAGTCGAGTCGGTCATGCGCGGTAGAGGCCCAAGTGCGCCCGACGAAGAAGTCTGCGTCGATGGGCTCGCTGGACTCGCTGTCCTCGAGGGATTCTAGCGCGCGATCAAGTGGCGCCCGATGGAGGCAGATTTGGCGTGCGATCGAGGCGGATCAGTAATAGTCGGCCTAGACCACTCGAACGCCCAGACTGAGACTCACCCGAGACATGATGGCCGTTGTAGCGTAGGTTGGAGGGCCCAAGGCGCAAGCGAGCCGAAGCTATACGATGCAGCGAGCTAAAGTCCCAGCACTGGGTCCTGACGGTGGATGTTGCCAGCGAGCAGGGAGCGGTGGCAGCGAGGCTTTCCAAGGTGCAGAGGGTGACGGTGGTTCAGGAAGCCAGGCTCTCCTCGGAAATCTCGACGCACGCACCCGCGACCGCGCCGAAAGCGCTGCCATGAGCGCCGCGCCGCGCGCTGTATGCATGCAGGATCACCGTGCAGCGATGGAGCAACATAGGATAAATGCGTCCCAGCCCGACGGTGCCGTGCGCGGCGCACACGCACAAAAGAATGAGGCGTGCGACGATCGTTGCTCAGACGTCAATGTCCCATCCTCCATGCCGCTTGCCAGCAGCGATGATGATGCGAGCCTTTCAAGCGCAGAACAGAAGCGTCATGATCGACGTTGGGTGCAGCGTCGACTCCTCACGATGAAGCATTGTCAAATTCAAAGAGTCAGGTGGTGCGCAACATTGTGACTATCAGGTCACCAATCTGGAGCGCGTAGGCCGTCTCAGATAGAGATTCAGGATCCATCCACTCACGACTCTTTCAAATTCACGCCTCTTGCAGACAGTCACATGAGCCAGAGCGTGTTGAAAGATAGACACGCTGAATTTGAATGGGCCTTCGATTCTGCGTCAACGCAGTCAACGAGTCAATTGACGCGGGTCAATCACGTGAATCGAGGCAATGCAGCAGTCAATCGAGGCAGTCAATTCAATCAATCGCGGCAGTCAATCAGGTCAACCGAGTCAGTCAGTCCAGTCAATCGAGTCAATTCAGTCAGCCAATCGAGTCAATTGACTGCTTTGACTCGAGTCAACCGAGTCAGTCGATTGAGTCCATCGAGTCAATCGACTGCAGTCAATGCAGTCAACGCAGTCAGTCGAGACAGTCAATTGAGTCAATCAAGTCAGTCATGGGAATTTTGATGCATGTGACTAGAACTGACTGATGCAAGATGTGTGTGCGTGCAAAGTGAGATGACTTCATGCAGCAAAGAGTGCTAGTGGGTATTGTAAGGGATCATGACAGGCAGGATGCTAGAGCATGCTAACAAGAGAGCATAAAGAATTACATGCACAGGTCAGAGGGTGTTAGTGCATGTCAAAGAGAGAGTGTGACAGAGAAGCAAGAAGGAAGTGAGAGGATGTTAAGGTTAATGAGAGAGCTGTGGGAGCTTAGGGTCAGTCAGTGAACAAGGGGAATGTTAGTGCGCGTTAATGAGAGAGCTGTGGGAGCTTAGGGTCAGTCAGTGAACGAGGGGAATGTTAGTGCGCATTAATGAGAGAGCTGTGAGGAGAGAGGGTCAGTCAGTTGATGAGGGGCGTATTAGTGCGTGTAAATGAGAGGGCAATGAGGAGAGAGGGTCAGTCAGTGAATGAGGGGCATATTAGTGGGTTAGGGTTAGGGTTAGGGTTACAAGGGTATCCCCAAACAGGCTTTTGGATGGGACTTAGACCAGCTTGTAGAGGCCACTGAGGGGCATATGTGGTGAAGAAAGTTTCAAATATAATTATCGATTGACGGTGTGAGGCAAGATTTTGTTGCGGGGAACCCAACATTTGGCTGGTGAGGTCTGCCCACACTGGACTTTTTCAAAAGCCTAGAAAGCCATTTTGTAGAGCATGGAAAAAGACTGGGGCATGCCAAGAACCAGGTGGAAAGAACATGAACTCAGTGAGGAAATCATCAATGAGTGGTGCACAACCTCGCCTACCTCGCCATGCATTGGTGCTGCCTCACCTGCCTCACCAAAGGACCTTGCCAACCTCACCGCATCACCTGACAACCTCACAGGGCTGGTCACATGACCAAATGTGTCTGGAACATTCTTGTGCAGCCAGCCCATGCATCCTCATGCATGTTCATGCATGTCTAGTGGATAGTGCATAAATAAGAGAAAATTTTCTTCATCCCTCTTTCTTCCTGACCACCATCATCCCTGAACCACACCACACACTCAACACCCATACTCACACACCATGCTGTCTCCAGAGCCCCCAGCATTCATCAACCAGCATGCTCTGCATGCTCAGCAGCCAGAACAACCCACCCTCTTCATCACTCAGCATGAACACCATGTCCAGCCCCCAGGACCACAGTTCATGGCCTCACCCTCACTGGACAGTGAGGATGATCACAGTGCATCAGACTACAACCCAGAGCCCAACAGTCCAGCAAGCATTGCATGCACTGATGACATGGAGGTGGATGAGGAGCAGGCAGAGGAAGCAGTGTCAGACAAGGGCAAGGGCAGAGACCCACTGCGCCACAAGAAGTACAATGAGAAGCTGGCAAAGAAGCCAGCTGAGGAGTGGATGGAGATGACTGGTGGTGCAATGTGCCAGTGGTGCAAGGAGAAGAACCTTCAGTGCCTCTTCAGCCTGACTGGAAAGTCTGTCAAGTGCAAGGCCTGCATCATGAGGCACAGGGGCTGTGTGCCTTGCAAGGTTGGCCCATCCCAGAAGGTCAAAGCTGCCAACTCAGTTCTCAATGCAGCTGCTGTTTGAAAGGCAGCAAAACAAGGTGGAATGGACCTGTGGGTGGAGGTGCCAAGCATGGAGGAAGTGAGACAGGCAAGGAAGCAGCAAGAGCAGGTGGAGAGTCTTGTTGGAGAAGTGAAAGCAGGAGTAAGCAAGGAGGTTGATGAAGTGAGGGGACAGATGAAGAAGCTCTCTGAGAAGGTGCAGGAGATTGAGAACAATCAGGTCAAGATTCTCAAGGGTCAGGAGGAGATCATGGAGATGCTCAAGAAGGTGATGGGTTGAAGCTCTTGAGGATGGGTGAATGACTCCTCTCATGTACACAGATGACTACACAGACTTCAACAGTCTCTCCCCCACCAAAAAACAATGCAATAGGGTTCAACCTCACCAACTCTGAGTGTGCATTGGGTGAGGTTCCAGTGAGGTTGCAGTGAGGCTGCACTGCAGCAAAGTCAGGAGAAGGGTTAGTGAGCTGGAGTTGCCAAGGGTGAGGTACTTGAAAGCATGAGTAGGTGCACACAGAGCTGCAACTGTGCTTGGTGTCAAGATAGAGTAAGGTTCCAGCAAGGCTGAAATGAGGTTCAAGTGGGGTGGTGGTGAGGTCAATGGGGGGCAAGAATAGAGTGTATAGCGGGCTCTCTACAACTTGCAGACCAAATAAGCAGTCTGGAGCATAGGTATGCAGCGGAGAACCCATGGAGACGCATGATAGGCGCTTCACTGCCACACCGACCTCACCAACCTCACCAGCCTCACCAACCTCACCAGACTTTGAGGGTGCATAGCACAACAACCAACCTACCTGAATCAGATTGCTGAGCATTGTGCTGATCAGAAGTAGCCTCTTCATATTATGGGTCAACTTCCTGCAGGCTATGCTTTGTGACAATGGTTGGTGTACATGTGCACCATGTTTATCATGTGCCTCACCAACCTCACCAACCTTGCCAGACTTTGAAAGGGCGTAGCGCAACAACCAAGGAACGTGAACCAGATTGTCTAGCATTGCGCCGGTCGGGAGAGGCCTCTTTACATGATGAGTCAATTACCTGCAGGTTAGATTTTGTGACATTGGTCAGTGCACATGTGCACCATATGTACCTCACTGGATAGTGCCTCACCTTTTTCTTCCCAACCACATCACCCCCCATTTGAGCTGAACACCAGACTTTTGTTGTTTGATTCTTTGACAAGGTTATCAGAAAGGCCTCAGAAGCTGCTTTAGCCCTATAGGAGTTTCATTCTTCTGGGCCTTCTCCTCATCACACACTGACTGGCGAGGTTCAGTGAGGTTCCTGGTGAGGTTCCCTCCCTCTACTCTGCTTCCAGGCTTGGAAACACATATGTGAGTGCTGCAATGGCTCTCCCAGCATCTTCCACATGTCCTTATTGTCCCCAATTGCTGCCAATTTTTTTCTAGCTGCCTCTGTGCATCTCCAACTCAGGCGAGGTTGCTGGTGAGGTTCTACTGGACACCTGGATCTGCAGACATTCTTCTGAAGATTGTGTGAGTCTTTGGTATTGCAAGCTGAGGCTTGACACCAAGCTGAAACCATCATTTGTGTCCCTTTGCTCTTTTCAGTACCACACAAGCAAGGGTGCTTGTCGAGGTTCAGCGAGGTTACTACCCATTCTTTGGTGAGCATGTGAAGCATAGGTCATGTATGTGGGCCTTTGTAGCTCACACTCTGTGCTCCTCACCACTTCCAGCTCTTACACCCTACCATGCCACCAGTATCTGGCCTTGCGCCCATCAACTCCAGGTGGACCTTGCCCAGGGACCTTGATGGGTACAACATGACTCTGTTCCCTGAGGATCTGCTGGAGCCATTTGGTCCAGAGGCTTTGGTGCAGCTGTGCAGCTTCAAGCCAACCATCTGGGACTTGAAAGAGTTTCAGGACTGGGTGTATGTGGGTAGTGCAGTGCAGTACTTCAAAATAGAGCCATTCTTCAAGCTCCCACTGCTGCACTACCTTGCCACCCATGTCACTGTTGAAGAAGGACACCACCCTCAGACCCTCATTGCAGGCAAGCAGAGTGTCCATCTCAGCAGGCTGGTGCTAGGCTTGGAGAGCATTGGCTGCAATGCAGTCAGAGTTCAGGCCTATGGGATGAAGAGCAACCTCGCCATTGTCGAGGCAAACCTCATGGGCAATGATGGGCAATGCTGAGCTCCCACTTGCTGATCTCAACACCTGGGATCTGGGCATCAAGCGCAGTACTGGGAGCTCCATTCCACTGTTCAGACCAATGGGAAGGAACACTCCTGGCACTAGATTGTTCCCCATGCTTGGCGAGGTTGGGCGAGGCTTTGGCTCAGTGGAGATCAAGCTTGCATATGAAGAGCAGGCCCACAGAGTCAAGATCTACCCAACTCTGGTGCACAGGCTCAAGGCCCAAGCTGGCAAGCACTACCGCTTTGGGCCAAAGAGCAACTTCACTGCCAAAGGAACTCTAACCTCGCTGGTCAACCGCCACACCAAGCTCTTCAAGGCACTGCAGCAAGACAGGAGCTGCTTTGGAGGCTACAGAATTGAAGTCACCGTGCAGAATCCCACACTTCCTGCTGCCATCTCACTGATCAGCAAGACTCCCCTGCTCAACCTCGCTGAGTGGCAGAAACCTCTCAGTGAGGAACTGGAGGGCTTTGTCATTCAGGAGCACTTGGTGAGCAGCCAGGTTTATCTGCAGCAGTTCAAGCGGCTACTGCACAAGGCACAGGGTCTCAAGTTGTTCTCTCACAAGAACACTGAGCCTCCTAGCCGGCTTGGCAAGCAAGTGCTGGTGGACCTCGCCAATGCTCTAGGCTGGAATCCTGGACTCAGAAAGCCCACTGAGCCATGGGACACAAGCGCTTGGTGGATAGTACCAGCAGTGCTGCCCACATCCCCATCCCCAAGCGTGGCAAGCCCTGAGGCACCATGGCAGGAGGTCAACCTCGCCAACCTCACAGATGTGCCTCTCCTCAGAGAGCTCTTTGACTTGCTCAAGCCTCACATGATTTGTAGGTGGTGTCAGGATCCTCAAAGCCGCTACACACGTAGCTGGGACAGAGACATCACCAAGCAGCAAAGGTTCAGGTGCTCCAGAAAGGCCAATGGTGCCTGTCCAGGTCCCCAGCTGTACCTGCAGAGAGAGATCCCTCTCTTCACCTGGTGGGTGAACCATCTGAGGCTGGAACTGCACCCCAAGTTTGCTGCAGCTGCTCAGAGAGCCACAGAGCAGCTCCAGGCGCTCAGGCTAGATCTGCAAGAGCCTCAGCAGGCACCTGTGCAAGCTCCTTCACAGCGAGGCAGGCGAGGCACTGCTGGGAGAGGGCGAGGCTCTAAGCGAGGTCCAGCAAGAGGCAGGGCAGCTCCAGCATCTGATGCTCCTCCCAGTCAGGTGCTAGGCAACGGAATGGTAGCCAGCGCCTTCATAAAAGGCAATGGTAACTGCCAGTTCAGGGCCTGGGCACATCTGCAGTATGGAGACCAAGCAAAGCACTGGGTGGCCAGGCGAGGTTCAGTGCACTGGCTGAAGAACCACAGGGCTCACATGGAAGAGATGTATGCTCCTGATGAGGCCACACACTTGGACGGATGCCCAGTGCTGGAGCAAAGCAACAGGAAGGCCTATGACAGCTACCTGAAGGACATGGGGGTGAGTGGCAACTGGGGAGATGAGTACAGCCTCATTGGTCTGGTGAATCACTTCAACCAGCCAGCCAGACTCATCAGCTTTAGTGAGCAGCTGGGTGCTTGGACAGAGTACACCATTGAGCCATATGTGCTGCCTCAGCCTGCGCCAGCCCCATTCACCTTCTTCTTTGCCAACAAGCACTATGAGGTGATGCTGGCAGAGTGAGGTTGTGAGGTTGGCAAGGTTTTCTATCTTTGAAGTTTGCTGGAAGTGGTGTTCAAATGAAATGAATGAATTGTTGATTGGATATGTTGAACAATGAGCAAAAACTAGTACTTCCACCGTGGCACTTTTGTGAGTACTTGTCAGATTGAAGCAAGCAGAGGCGAGGTTGAAGCAAGCTTTGGCGAGGTTAAGGCTAGGCTGTGGGAGGGGGAAGTACCACTGTTTGCTAGAGAAAGGGTTATCAGCCAGGCTGTGAGGTGTCTAGTGTCACTTCATATTGTTGGTGGCAGCAAAGACCAGTGGCAGCAGGCATACTTCTAGTAGTCAGACCAGTGGGGAGTCAGAGGTGATATTTGGGGCTGCAAAGAGCAGGTAATACTTATTGCGCTGATGAGAGTGAGGACTGCTGGTGCACACAGGGCTAAAAGTTTGGATTAAAGGGAGGCTATGAATGAAGCAAAGGGGATCAAAGATGTGGGATGTGAGGTTGGGGCGAGGCAAGGCGAGGCAAGGGTTAGGGTTACAAGGGTGTCCCGTTTTAGGGTCAGAGATGTTTGATAGCCAGTTTGTAGAGCACATTGAGGAGTGTCTTGTGGCAGAAAAGTTTTGGATTTGCGATAGCCGTTTTTGTGTGAGGAGGCGCAAAGCGCAAGTGCGGGGTGATTTTGGCTGGTGGCGCCTCTTGAAATTTGGGAATCTATGTGACCCTAGCAGGTTTTTGGAGAGGGTCAGAGGAGTCATTTAGCATGTGTGAAGGGTTTGGGGTGGGGTTGCAAACTCATGG